TATATATATATATATTGCAAAATTTCAAATGATACTTGATGCGGGAGATTTGCACAACATATGGTCTCCCTTAATTCTAACCTGTGTTTAAGAGTTTCCTACACTGTATATAGTGGGTTTCACCGCCTGTACTTTTTTATCACGGACAAGCATGGCCAACTTTTCATGTTCCACAAAGCAAAGATAAACAATACAGCTACTATGGTTAGAAATTTCACATTTCCACAACACATTTGAGAGTTTTCAGCACCCCAATCCTGCCAAGCTGTGAATTGTACAGTTTTTCTTGTAGTTTATATTTGTACATTTTGTTTGTTTGACTGTTTAGGGGTGTTGGTTGGTGGTGGAGGAGGGGTTGCTTTTGATGTATATTATTCCATCAATTCGGTTTGAATTGGACTTTTATAGGATATTATGCAGAGTCTTCTGCTTTGGTGAAATACTTCCAGTAGTAAGAGATTTCTGTTCTCTGTCACTTGTACCTGGTATGTTTTGTTCCACCTCCCTCGCTGCTCACTCATGGGGAGCAGAGGAGGGAGTAACTATTGTTGCCATATTCATTTTGGATGCAGTGATCGACGGGAGAGATGAAATGCACAGAGGAAGGTGCAGTCCTCTTAAGGCTTCCTTTCTCTGCTCATCTCACTTCTCTCTGGACAACATTGCCCCCTGGTGAATATGCTCTGATTGTCAAAGGCTTGTATTTAAACTGTGGGATTGCTTCTGCCTGCTGTATGTCCCACTGCATTACCCCACCCTACCCTGCTGCACTCAAATCACAGACTGTATGTTGAGAGAGATAATAAATATTATTTTGTGCTTGATGGTATGTTTCATTGTTTTTATTTCTAGAGGGCTATATCACAATTTAAAAAAAAAAAAAAAAAAGTATAACGTTACTTCTGATTAGTTAAAAGCTTATGTCGATAAACAAAAAGAATAAATAACATCAATAAATTATATATTATAATTTTTGTTGCTATATATTGATGGACTTATTTGAAAGTGTGACGTGCACTCGGACCAGACTTTGATGTTTTCAGCCCAGCCGACATCTTTGAAACAGCCGCAGATTCGCAACATTCAACACAAAATAACCTATGGGGAATAATCGATTGGGTAGAAATCGGTTAAAATAAATGATTAAATAGTCGCTTGGAACATAATATCTTATCCCATCACGAAATCTCGACTCAAGTGTGCATACAGGGCCCTATTTTTAAAACCAAAGCCGAGAAATATAGACCCTGCTCCGTGTGGCGAATGTGTCAACCCGCGTCCGCGGCGTAACGTTACAGCAACGGTTGCCCCTTTTGTTCAACCGAGTTCCTGAATTATTCCCAACACAATGAAATGATCGGGATATTATATTGTTTCATAAAAACATCTCACTTGCTTTTTCTTTACGCTTCCCGCGATCTCACCTGGGACTATCCAATGAATTAAAATCGACCTACAAACCCTTCCGATCTGGTGTGAGGTTTCCGAAGCACGCAGTCTTGAGGAACGTGGAGTAGTAAGTGTTTATAACGTTAGTACAGATTCTGTGGCGTTAAAACGAGGACTCTGTTTTTTTATTATGTGGGGGAAAACTGGGTCACATCTTTTGACACTTAAAGCTAATGTAAATCTGCGGTGGTTTTAATACTCCATCTCAACCCAGTGTGCCCTGGAAACACGAAGTAGTGAAAGCCCCCTTGATGCATTAAGCATGCCTTGCTATTTTCCTCGTATCGCTCAACATTTTTCAAGTTATTTCACCACAGGGAAGAACTAATTGGTTGCTCGACCCTATCTGCTCCGTCAACCAGTTCGTCCCCGTGTCCCACATGCTGTAGTAGTGTGCTAATGTCATGAAATCCCACGTTATACTGTCATTTTGCTGCTCAGTGTCTGGGACTCACAGGGTGAGGTCATTGTGGAGGGAAACACTCAGCTACCTACAGGGCTGAATGGTCATCTGAGTTACAGTCAGGCTACTGTTGTATGTAACTTTAAACACTCTCTGTGTGTTATTTGTTTATTAATTGTGCTTTAAAAACTGCTCGGTGAGGTCAAAGTGACACCTCTCTTTGTGTAGCTAACGTCTTGCCCTGTGAATACAATGTAGCAGGCGAATTAAACCAACCTACTCAACGTTGCTGAGCCCAGTGAAACCACCGTGTGCGTCCGATTCAGACACGAAATAAAACCAACAGAAGCTAATAAAAGCTCGTTTGTAACGTTAAAGTCGTGAGCAGCGCCGGGTTGCTGCATCCTCCGTAGCTCCGCTCTTTGCACAAGGATTTGGTGTTGTTGTTTGCTAGCTGCTGTTAGCATGCTGGCTAGCAGCGTCAGGCTGCAATGTTTCATTGTTTGAGGAGGAAGCATCAGCAAAGTGCTGCGGCTAACGTTAGCTGGATTTAAATGCGTTACAAGTCGTATGTTTAGCGTTTGGGGATTTTTTTTTTTAAAACTGAATTGTGTCCTGCGCTTTGTTTGCATTAGCCAGGTTTTGTTGGAACTCGTTGGCTGTAAACAAGCTTGAGATTGCTGCCAACTGGACTCCCTGTTTGTTTCCCTGCACGTTAACTGAATATAACCAGGAGCAAACATATTGACCTAAACTGCACCTGCCATTGGGTACCAGAACATAATAACATGTTTGCTACTGGGAATAAGGGGCATGGTCACGTGACTACCATAACAGGTGCACAATGTGGAGGCACGACTTGTGTCCGACTACTAAAGTCCCAGTGACAGTAGGTGGTATCTAATTAATGAAACGTTATTGTATTCTGAACTCATAACATGGTCATCAGAATTCAATCTCTGGAATTGATCCTCCCATGGTGCTCCCTTTGTGTCCCCCTCTGTCAGATGTAAACCTGAACAGCATCTGTCCCAGCAGTGGCTGTTGGCACAATGGGGCTGGACTTTGATGTAAAGACATTCTGTCACAATCTGCGGGCCACCAAGCCCCCTTACGAGTGCCCCGTGGAGACTTGCCGTAAGGTCTACAAGAGCTACAGTGGCATTGAGTATCACCTCTACCACTATGACCACGACAACCCAACTCCTGCACAGGCTGTCCCCCAGAAGAAGAGAAAGGGACGGCCTCCTCGCGCCTCCTTGGCCGGGTCAGGGGATACGGACGATGGTGGAGGTAATGGAGGTGGAGGACCGGGGCATGGGGGGAACACGCCTGGTAGCCCCAACCGGTCGGAGCGCTCCCACTCCCCTGGCAGAGAGACTATGACCTATGCCCAGGCACAGCGCATGGTGGAGCTGGACATCCAAGGACGGATCCACCGCATTAGCATCTTTGAGAACATTGACGTGGTGTCCGAGGAAGACAGCGATGCGGAGGATGCTCCGCCGTCTGGTCCTGGTGGCGGTGGTGGAGGAGTGTGTAACGGTAGTGATGGTGGAGGTGGAGGTAGCGAGGTAGGAGGCAGTGGCAAGGACCGCCCAGATATCCCATCTTCCAATGGGGGCAAATCCACTCCGAAGTCTGGGAAGCATAAGAGTAAAGAAAAGAAGAAGGATGGCTCATCTCATCACCACAGCGCTCAGTCTGGTCCTGCAGTGAAGCTCCCCGAGGCGGTTTTCAGAGAACTGGACCAAGAGAGACCTGACGCTCCTCCTCGGCCATCATCTTACTACAGGTCAGCACTGAGAATTATAATCTGATTCATTAATAATTACATAGGAGGGGTGAGGATTCGAAGCAGGATTGGCAGTAATGGTGTGCATGTGTAGAGGAAGCATCTTGTTTATACAGAAAGTAGATTTGGTGAGTTGTAAATATTTGAAGCACACATTTACAGTCAGTCACTAGTTTGTTTGCAGTTGCACAGCTCATTGTTGTGCATGTGTCAAGTTATTAATTTGACTCTGATTCCTCATATTCTGTCATTATTTCCCCTTTTTTTTTTAAAGAAAGTTGAAGTTGGTGCCCAATTAATTACACTTCTCTTCTGCCCACACGCTGTTATGTAATAACATAAACACATTTTTGACTTTAATTCCAACTCTGGTGCTCAGGTACATTGATAAGTCTGTGGAGGAGCTGGATGAGGAGGTAGAGTATGACATTGATGAGGAGGACTACATCTGGCTTGACATCATGAACGACAAGCGGCGGCGTGACGGCGTGACACCCATCCCTCAGGAGGTCTTTGAGTATCTCATGGACCGCCTAGAGAAGGAGTCCTACTTCGAGAGCCACAACAAGGTACCTGGACTTGGAGAATGAGGGGCAAATAATATTTTAACGCTGAAATGTTTATCAAATGCATCCAACTCTGATCTCCTTATCTTCCTTTCTCCCAGGCAGACCCCAGTACCCTAATCGATGAAGATGCTGTGTGCTGCATCTGCAACGATGGAGAGTGTCAGAACAGCAACGTGATCCTGTTCTGCGACATGTGCAACCTGGCGGTACACCAAGAGTGCTACGGTGTTCCCTACATCCCAGAGGGCCAGTGGTTATGTCGTCGCTGTCTGCAGTCGCCAAGTAGAGCTGTGGACTGTGCTCTCTGTCCCAACAAGGGAGGAGCTTTCAAACAAACAGACGATGCACGCTGGGCACATGTAGTGTGTGCCCTCTGGATCCCAGAGGTAAATCCACACACCGTTACATGCGTTGTTGATCAGAACAGATATTGCAGATATGGAGGTACTCTGCACTGTGCCATGTTTATTTGGGTTGCCGAATCAAAGTTGCTTTACTTTTTCTGCAGGTTTCCATGGTTCAGTCAGTCTGTTATCTCATTATTACTCTTTTTATTTAGAGTTTTGCAATTAAGTGAGTTTTTGCTGCCTTTCCTCAGGTCTGCTTCGCTAACACAGTCTTTCTGGAGCCAATCGATAGTATTGAGCACATTCCTCCTGCACGCTGGAAGCTCACCTGCTACATCTGCAAGCAGCGTGGTTCCGGCGCCTGCATACAGTGTCACAAAGCCAACTGTTACACGGCCTTCCACGTCACCTGTGCCCAGCAGGCGGGCCTCTATATGAAAATGGAGCCCGTCAGAGAGACCGGGGCCAATGGCACCTCTTTCAGCGTCCGCAAGACGGCTTACTGTGACATCCACACGCCCCCAGGATCAGCCCGACCTTTGGCGGGGGTAGGCGGGGCCAGCATGGGCTCATCTCACAGTGAAGGAGAGCTGGAGGAGGATGACGAGCCCAGCATTGGCCCTGATGAGGACTCCAAGGGCTGGAGCTCTGAGCGCGCCAAGAGGGCGAAGGCCAAGTCCAGGCTGAAGATGAAAAGAGCGAGGAAGATCTTAGCTGAGAGGAGAGCTGCTGCACCAGTGGTATCTGTGCCCTGCATACCTCCCCACAGGTACTAACACTCAACCTTTTACCTGTACTGTTTGTGCTTCACAGCTCCAAGATGCACAAACAGTGGAGACTTTTTCTTAAAACAACAAAGGAAGTTTTACATTATTGACACGAGAGTAACAGAGTTTGAACGTTGTGTTTGTTTCCCCCCAGGCTGAGTAAAATCACCAGTAATTTAACGGTACCCAGAAAGAGCCAGTTCATGCAACGACTTCACAGCTACTGGACCCTGAAGAGGCAAAGTCGTAATGGTGTACCTTTGCTACGCCGGCTTCAAACCCACCTGCAGTCACAACGACATATTGACCCACTCCCACCACAACCTCCATCACAGCTCCCTCCGGTAACTAGTAAAATAGTTTTTAAAAAAAAAATATGTGCATGTTATTATAGTTCTGTACATGCCTAATTCCAAATGTGTGGATTTGTGCGTGTTGGTGTTGCAGAGAGACAGCGAGGAGAAACAGTCGGCTTTAAAGGAGCAGCTGAAGGCCTGGCAGAGACTGAGACACGACCTGGAGAGAGCCCGGCTGCTGGTGGAGCTCATCCGCAAGAGGGAAAAACTCAAGAGGGAGACGGTGAGACACAAATGGCTTTATTTCTGTGACAAACAGATCAAAACCGTAACAGAAGCACTTCCAGTGAGCTTTATAGGACAGTGATTAGTATGTAAGTCTTCTCTTTGGATTAGGGTCCATTCAGGCAATGTAACGCAATCTCAATAATTAGGTCCAAATCTTGGGGCAACCTCCGTGGCTGGCAAATGAAGCCTATGCGGAAGTGCCAAAAACTGCAGTTCCTTGACCGGCCTCTTGAGGCCGGTTGAGGAAGTGAGTTAATCTCAATCTAAGCCCCCATACTAAAATGCCTAACTTCCCAGCAGAAATAAACATGTTTCCAGCTTGGTACAGAAAAGGGTTTTGGCGTCTATAGCTACATTCTCTGTTCATGACAACTAGGGGGTTGAATTTTTATTTATCTCCCCCGTTTAAATTATAGGAGGGCTTAACGTTATGCATAATTAAGGGAACGGCCGCTTTGAGTGACAAGTGGGTGCTGTCACAGGTTGCTGTTTACTGTAAGTAGACTTCATTCAGCCCACCTACGCTCCACGTCTTTGCATATTTTTGGATTACCTGGGAGCTGACAAAGCAAGGGCCACCAATATGGTGACGGTCAGAGCCAACTGCACTGCACATTTTTAATTATACAGTCTATGGTCCAAATAAAATACTATTTATACAACCTAAAAGCCATTTTAGCTATTTCAGTAATATCTTTTCAGTTTTCTTCCTACTTGTTCTGTTTTCTTTTTCTTAGAAGTTCTAAGAAATGATTTGTTGTGGTCCAGTCTGGGGATCTCTGACACATTTGACATTTAAGAATCTGCTGCAAAACAGCATTAGCACTAAGTTGCACACACACACCAATGTGTACCTTAGTGCAGTCACATATGAGTGTATGGGTACTTACATACATTTGAATTGAATATGTGTGCACATACACCATTATTACCCCACAGATTTCACTATGACTGTTTGTCAGTGTTTGTACGTTGTTAAAAATGGTTTCTGTGTTCAGATTAAAGTACAGCAGATGGCGCTGGAGATGCAGCTTACTCCCTTCCTGGTGCTGTTGAGGAGTACGTTGGAACAGTTACAGGAAAGAGACACTAACAACTTTTTCACTGAGCCTGTACCGCTGGCAGAGGTAAATGCATACATCATTCACACTCAACAGGTTTGCATATTCACTTTAGCCGGGTTATATCTCTGATTTAAAAAATAATAAATCTGATTAAACTAAAAAGAAAATTATATTTTTTTAAAATTACTATATAATGTGTGTTAAATTACACATCGCCCCTTTCTTCTCTATCTATTTGCATTTTATTTATATCTATTTTTATAAGATTCCTTTTATGAAAAATGTTAATCTATTTATTTGCATAATATGCCGGCTCAGTATCGTTACAACTCTTAAATGACTAAATTTGAGGGATCCTTGCTAATTTGCATTTTTGAAGAAATATGTTATATTGCCTATTATCTGCAACTACTTTTTCAATTACATGTTTGCTCTGATTTCTGCACACTCACAGCTTCACTGAACAAATGCAAAAGCTTATTAGAACTTGCAGGTCATGCCTCTGTCTGATCTGTACTATCCAGGTGCCAGACTACCTGGACCATATTGACACTCCAATGGACTTCCAGACCATGTGGAACTTGCTGGAATCCCATCGCTACCTCACTTTTGAGGCCTTTGAGGCAGACTTTGGCCTCATTGTGAACAACTGCCTCAAGTACAACGCCAAGGACACAGTCTTCTACCGTGCTGCCCTGCGCCTCAGAGAGATGGGCGGGGCCGTCATAAGAACCGCCAGACGCCAAGCTGAACGGATAGGCTTTGACTATGAGACGGGCATGCACCTCCCCCGAGAGCCAAGCCCGAACAGTCAGCGCGACCAAGAGAGAGACCGAGAGAGGGAGCGGCAGAGGGAGCGAGAGAGAGAGCGGCAGAGGGAGCGGGAACGAGAAAAAGACGGGTTACTGTCCTCTAATGAAGATGGTAAGTGAACGCCTTTCACTTTGGTTGAGAGGTTTATGGCAGCCCAAGCATTTTGTCTCAAGCACCAAAGTAAAAAAAAAATAGGCAAGGTGCAAAATATTATTATATAGTCAAGTGAGAACTTCTAATTTCCCCCAACCACATTTTGGTGGCCAATTAATACCTTGCATTTGAAGATTATACGGTATGTTGTAAAATGCTCGCGATTCAGTAACAATTTGAAAGGCTAGAAGCTGAAAATGTAGCTGTGTGCTTTATTTCACTGAATAACATAATTGTGATTGAAATACTAGAGGGAATTAGGGTGGTAGGGAAATAGGAGTAGGATGGGAGGTGTCTGCATTGCATGAAGGGATAGGAGGGACAGACCATGAGTCATGGGTGTAGTAGAGATTAAGCAAAAAACAAGGGAAAGTTAACATTCACAAAAGCCCTCATCCCTTTTGTCAGTTGCACGTTCAGGCTTCCTTCATAATTACTGTATTTTCATTCTCTTTCTCTCTTTGAAGGTGTTTAACAGCCTTTCTCTCCCTGCCCCTCACAGACCTGCTTCTGCCAGAGAACAGGCGACGGCTACCACTGGAGGAGCAGCTGCATTACCTGCAGGCGCGTCTCGATGAGGTCAGCTCGGGAAGGCACAGCATCGGTCAGTCTCGTAGAGCCAAAGCTCTGAGGAAGGAGATCAGTGTTATCAAGAGGAAGCTTGCACACCAGCGAGAAGGAGGCTCCGCTATGGGAGGCCGGGAGTCTGTGGGAGGAGGAGACAGGGGTTCTTCCCTACCCCATCACACATCTTCTTCGGGACACCACGATGAAGGGGGAGAAAGCAGCAGCCAGGAGATTGGTGGGAAAGGTGCGTTTAGGAAGATGAAAGAATGAAATATCATTCACGTGCAGCACGAAAATACATTTGCTTGCATTTTAACCTATAAACCTCTCTCTCCCCCAAGATCTGAGCGTGTCCTCGTCTGCTCTGGCTCCAGAGGTGGGTCGTCGGACGTCTGTCCTCTTCTCTAAGAAGAACCAAAAAATGGCTGGACCCCCTAAAAGGCCAGGACGTCCCCCGAAGAACCGTGATGCTGGCTATGGGGGGGCGGGGGTGAGCCAAAGCCCCATCGGCCCCCCTCAGCTGCCCCTGCTGTCAACAACCCGGCCGAGGAAGAGGCCCCGGAGCCCCCACAGCAGCTCCAGCTCCGACAGCGACAGTGACAACGATGACCTGCTCCCAGGTACAGTAGACAAATGCACAGTTAAACTTTAACCTGCAATGTTTCAGTGACGCACTCTCACTTCACTCTGTCTGTGTCTCTTTTCCTCAGGTTTGCCAAGTAACGGTTTTGATGGAGGAAACCAGCCAGTAACGGAGAGCTTCCGCGTCTACAGAAATGAGCCTCGTCTCCCTCGTTCTAGTTCAGACTCTGAGTCCACAACCAGTAGCAGCAGCAGCGCAGCTTCTGACAGAACCAGGTGATTAGTGCACAAACATACTGGGTGTTCATTAGATACAGAGCAGTACGCCTGGTGTTCTTAAAAGCTTTTCTGTTACCAACCGCTTGCAAGTAGTCATGTTTAGTTCCAACTTTGTCATCAACCAAGCTTTGATGAACCCACTGTACAGGAATTAGAAATTACCAGGTGACATATTAGCCATACCAACTTCATAAAGTAATGTAAATACAGGGTAGTGTGTCTGCCAGTGTGGAGTTTCTCTTCCTCCAGTTGGCCAAAATGTCAATTCTTGCAACTTTAAAAGTTCACAGTTTGACCTGAGCTCACTTTGTGGTTGCCAGGCAGCCAGCTGAGACTCCATGTCGCTGCCACCCTGTAAAACCTCAACCTTTTGTTTTAACATTTAGTTGATGTACGACTTAAGAAACCAAGGTAGTGTGTTAATAATTACTGAGCAAGAAAACACATTTCCTAAAATGTCGTACTATTCCATTTAAAGTTCTTAAAGATACTACGTTGCAGTGGTATTAGCCAACATTTAGACTCATTAGGATTAAAATCTCTTTTTCAAGAGTGACCTGGCCAAGAGGACACATTAATTTGTTACAACAGTAAACACAAACAGTGCAAACAGATAAATACAATTTCACACGCTACAAATGAGTGAACACTGTCCAGTTGATGTAGAATACAAGGTCAGGGGCAAAAAACAAGTATGATGCATAAACAGAAGCAATCACATTGACCAAGAGTACTAATTTCTCTATCCTTTATTTTCTGTGGTATTCTGTGGTGTTAATAACATCTTTGACCCATAACACTTCTATCTTTATAACCCTGTGTCCTCTTCACTCTCAGTACGACCCCCTCTAAGCAGGGCAGAGGGAAGGCGTCGTTCTCTCGCTCTGCCTTCCAGGAGGATAGCAGTGAGGAGACGTCGGGCACTGAAAACGATTCCTACTCCGTCGGAGGATCACGCAGCGTGTCGCATTGTAAGGGCGTTTTCACACACTCAAACCCTCATGGACACACACCTCCATTTGTCACTGCATACATAATTTGTTTCTATTTTTGGAGATAGTGAGCATGTTCTCAGAAAGATTTGGATCTTAATGTAGCTGGTAATTCATTAGAAATGAGCTGCAAAATATTTTTAGATCTGATATGATTTGACTCTTTAGTATCAATGGAAAAATTACTTTAAAAAATATTATGTTGTCATGAAACTGGTTCATATTGAATCAAAATCTAAATAACTGATATTTCTTACAGGTTGTTGTTTACTTTAGCCTGCGCCCCGAATTAAATAAGTAATATTTCATGACTTTACTTGTTTTCTTGACTGTTGTTGGTGGTTAAAAAACTAAATCAGTATTCACCATGTTACAATTTTCAAGCTCAAATGATGACAGAGACCATTTTATGTAGCTCTCACTCATTTTAGTCATTTTAGAGCTGGGTCTTTCACAACCAGCCCAGTGGCCCCATTCCAGATACAGATTATTATGTATGTATGTACTGTTTAGCTACAAGTGAGGATGCGCAATGATGACTGTCTTCCTGTTGCTGTGTTACTTACCGTCAGTGGTTCGAGGCCGGGCCAGGTCAGGGTGTTGGATGACCTCTGATGACTATTCTTCTCTGGAAGCTCTGGACCTGGTGTGGGCCAAGTGCAGAGGCTATCCTTCATATCCGGCTCTGGTGAGACACAAGTAGATTAATCAAAATAAAGAAGGCTGACAAGAGCCAAGAGAACTGTTTACTTAAGGCCATGCTGCAGGATACGTCTAACCCTCCTCCACCGTTTGCATGCAGATAATTGACCCGAAGATGCCCAGGGAGGGGGTGTTCCACCGGGGTGTTCCAATCCCTGTCCCCCCTTTGGATGTGCTAAAACTAGGGGAGCAGATGACCCAGGAGGCCAGGGAGCACCTGTTCCTGGTCCTCTTCTTTGACAACAAGAGAACTTGGTCAGTGCCCTGGGTCATCTTGTCTCATCTGTTCATATTCACTCATTGTATTTTCACTAATCGTTCTTAAAGTTTGTTTCTTCTTTCTTTGTTCTCACTGACATTCTGTTCTTTTCCACAATGAAGTACAGTAAAACACAAAGCGCAAGCAAAATAAGCGTCTGACGTTACTGGATGTGTGCAAGTAACTCTGTGGCAATAGTTCAAAGGAAACTGCAGTACTCGTACTGAAGTGCAAGACGACAGAACATTTAGCAGAAATAGGACGAACGTGGTTTTAGAGAATTGAAGAGGAGTGATTATAGGTCATGGGGTGCTGCGCAATCACTTCTCTTTGAGGGTTGCTTGTAAGTTCATGGGGGGAAAAAATCTAAGAATTATATTTTCACATTGTGTATGCCTCACCTGAAGAGTTAAGGAAGCAGAAACTTCTTTATCAAATTTGTCTTCCTGAAAAACAATAGGGCCTGTTATGATTACTGTTTGTCTGTTTTTGCTTCTGATGCATCTTTTACTCGAAACTAAAAACTTAAGATTTAACACTTGAGTGTGTGTGTGTGTGTGTGTGTGTGTGTATATATATATGTTGGTGTGTATACAGGCAGTGGTTGCCGCGCTCTAAGCTGGTGCCGCTCGGGGTGGACCAGGAGCTGGACAAGGAGAAGATGCTGGAGGGCAGGAAATCCAACATCCGCAAATCGGTGCAGGTGGCCTACCACCGTGCGATGCAGCACCGCAGCAAAGTGCAGGGAGACCCCAGCAGCGAGACCAGTGACAGTGACTAAACACAAACGCTATGTGTTGGACCTTACAGGTGTCGTGGAGTATATGTGTCTCTATCGAGAGCCCAACCCTCCGTCACAGAACACAAGAAACAGTGCCAGTAGCACATAGTGGGATCTACATCCACTACATTGGCCCCCCAAGATACACACACTCACACACACTAAGCCGTATTTAATCTGACATGTAAAATATTGTATTTAAGAGAATTGAAAAAAAAATGGTATTAATAATAATGATGGAAAAATATGCTATGTTCAGAAACATCAATCAAAAATATTCCTTGTATGTGGTCGATATATGTTTAATAACTAATGAGATGATGGTTTACATACTCAACAAATTAACACACTGTTGCACTATGATGCACACACGACTCTGCCTCTCCCTGTTATTCTTAAACATACATTCACACATGTAATTTTACATTTGAACAGGGAAATGCATGTAGTGTACGTTAAATGCACATACTGTGGGTATGACTGCGAATGCCATCGGCCCAGCACATCTTTCACCCACCAAAAAAACAAAACAAAAACAAACAGGCCTGGTGCTAGTGTCCAGTCATTTGTAAGTGGAGCACAAAGAGAGACTGAAGTGTTGGCGAACCAACGTTAATGTTATTTATTCTGCTTACTCCTTCTTAACAAGGTCCACAAGCTCCTTTTTTATCATGGACTACTTCTAATCACTCCGGCTGCACAAGACATCATTGTGTGGTCCATTTTTCCGTCTGTCACTCTGTGTTCATCATGTCTCCTGTTTTTACGGTTTTGTTAACGTACGTCTGTGTCACACAGGCCGCTGGACAACGAATAATGAGGACTGAACTGAAACACATGATCGCCTCACTGTCTGTATTAGTCTCAGGCTGATGGCTTTAGAACTTTTATATATACAGATTGCATAAAGAATAGAAGTTTAATAAAAAGAATTGAGTTTTTTAAACTTGTGAGTCATGTTGTGATCACTGTGTGTGGACTGGTTTGTTTTCAGTGCTTTTCCTGCGCAAGCTTTTCCTTGCTGGAGGCTATTGTGTGGAATATCCTGTGTGTTCTGCTAAAAATACTTATCCGCACATTCTCTTTCCAAGGAAATGGTCTCTTGTAAGTGCTTCTCAAGAATTATTACGCTGTATTTTTCTGATACGGATTCACTTAGGCTGACAGAACTCCTCAGTTTAAGAGTAATATTTGCTGACAGTGAAGTCTGTCATCTTTCATGTTTGTACGGAAGGATTGCTTATACCTTAGTGTCCATATTTGCCTGAACACTCAATTTAACTTATTATTTTAAATCAGAGTAAACACTGTCTGAATTTGACTTATTGGAAATACCTTCCTCAGCCCACAGGCTTCTTTGTCCTACCTCAGGGAGTTAAATTATAGTATGTTTACCAAGCTGAGACATGCCTCTTGTAACTGTAAGTGTAACGTCTCCGATATATATACATACAGTTACAGTTAAGTCAACCATAAGTCGTCCACACTAGTTCTGTATGTTTCTTGTGGGATATTTTATGGTCTATAAAGCATTGACTTACTGGTTGGACAGCCTTTACTAAAACAAAAAAAACCATAGGTTCTCATTAATGTGCCTGTTCAGATTCATATTGCTTGATGTTAAGGCAGCGGTTTGGTTGCCCCATGATTTCAATGTGATTTTGTCTGAAATAATCCCAGATAATGTGTCTGTATCTGGGATTAATTAATTAATTAAATAACCTGTCAAAATCACGCAAAACACAAAAAGATACAGGATATCACGAAACTTAGTGTCCCAGCTTCTTCACTTTTAAAAGTTTATGACTACATTTTAATTACATTTCTCATAAAGTGACTTACTATTTACATGATCAGTTGCTAAATGAGATTAGTCTGTTATGACAAATACCTCTTGACAACCAATGTAAATTTCCTTCCTCCAAAATAGTTTTTGATCATTTTTTCCCCGTACGATAAAGATCCCCCACCCGACTGGAACACCCACTAACTCAACAACTTCAGATTTGCAACCAAAACGACACCCCTGTTTCCTGCCTTCAGAAACACTCACAAATGTGAGTGGAAACACGTGATAAGCATCAGCACTCGAGATGACTTGTGGTGTTGTAGAAACCTGTTTTTTTTTCTAACCAAGACCTGTCTTAGCTTTCCATCGTAACTGTAACTACCACATCTACTGTCTGTATCCCCTATCTCTGTACACACACATACTGCACAGCCCTTTATAGACTCCTCAGGCATTCAAGACAGAGTAGTAAACCCAAAGTAGATTCAATGTCAAAGTAAATGGGATCCAAAGTAATCACACTGATAGAATATAAAATACTCATTTGCACGTATTCACCACCTCCAAGTCAGTATTTAGCTGATGCACTTTGCAGCATTTACAGCGTTGGGTCTGTGTAGCTGTATCTGTTTGAGATCTGAACACTGCAATTTTTCCTCATTCTTAGCTAAATAAAAAAAAGCTCCTTCATGTGAGTGAACAGCCATTTTTCAGCCTCACATTATTGATTGGACTGAGAGGTCGACCGGGACACAAACACCGTTTTTAAGCCATTGTTGACTAGCAGCTGACTTCAGAGTTGGCTTTCTCTTTGGAAATCTCCCATCAGGCTTATTGATTAAGCAGCTGGTCAGCTGTTGCTGTATGTGCAGTCTGACCAATATCAGCCTTAGAAACTCTTTCTCAAAGTAGCTTGGAGTGCATCTTTGTCTTCACGGAATAGATTTGGTCATGGTACTGACTCACCAAAGGTCAGGTCACCAGTGATGATATAGGTGTTGGTACAAGTGCAAGCACATATTTTATATTTCATAAAACTGTACTGAATTAAAATCACTTTCTGTGTTCTCCATGAAAACCTCCAAGAGGGGTGATCTACTTTTTGTAGACTCTCCATATCTAACTGAAAGTGGGAGGTCTCTGGGTGAAATCATACTATTGCTGCAAAGTAAACTGGATAAGCAGAAGGGGGTGTGTGGTGTGAGTGACTGAAGGACAAAGAGACAATGACATTCAGGTCTCTTTACCATTACTTCCTGACTAACTGGTACAGCGCTTAACAGTATAGGAGGAAGTGTCACCCTCTACACACCATATAGAATCTTTGACCCACTAGGCTTACTGTTACTTGTGGGAATGCCATTGTCTGTCTGAAAGGGCGTTAACACAATAGTGGCCCCAGGAAAGTCATTTTAACAAAGATTGAGGCGTCTACCCTGTCCTTATCTCCTTTTATATGGGGCTGTGATGGAGGGGCGGAGCTGTGGTGCTCTCATGCGAAATGTTCGTGTGTTGTGTGTTATTTTTTAACAATGGTTCAGTCATTTGGCAACGCTTGTGGGAGAGGAACAGTTCACAGCTGAACTCGGAGGAAAATATCTTGCACAAAGTTTTTTGGCTCTTGCACGCAGAAAGCAGCTGAATGGATCAGCGACAAAACTGCGTCTCCGGGAGTGCGCAACACCCTGGCTTTTAATTAAGCGATTATTTCCTAATTTTAAAAGACCTTTTCGATGTATAAAGGGTGTTTTAACATCGCCGTGGCATTTATTGCCGCCGTGGTGTTTCCTCTGCAGCTGGAATGTAACCAAAAATGTCAGGTGAGTTTAAAACTGTTTTGTATACAGATTTAATCTCATAATGCGCATACAGTTGTATTAATTGCGGGGGAAGTCATTTTAAATATTTAAATACGATTAGATTTATTGCATCCAAATAATTCATACCAACATACAGTGATGGATGCATGGTGGTTTGTGAATACTTCATATTTCCTTAACCTATGTTGTCTATCTCTTATTCTTACTTTAGGTGGGAAATCTAACTGGTAAGTGTTCTAGTTAATATTGGTTTCCCATCACATTACTTTCATTTTATTATATCATGTGGAGAAGGAAGCCACATGTGTCACTAATGCTCTTCTCTGTCTGTGCTGACAGATTATGCTGAGGGAGGCTGTCCTGTGAAACTGACCTCAGTCCTGTCCATGGAGTCTGGGGGGATTTACTCTGAACGTGTCACTGTTTGGATGAAAGCTGATGGTACAGAGGCAAAACCCACCGCTGCAAAAGTCCATTTTGTTATCATATGTTTAAAGCTAAAGCTGTCTTTGTCACATGTCTGACCAAATGTTGAAATGTCTGTTCTATTGCTTTTTTCCAGACTTTTGTAAGGGCACAAAGATTGAAATTCTCTCCCCATTTAAAGAGACAATTAGGCCTAGGATAAAGAGGAAAAACAAAAAAAAGTGTGCACTTAACCCAAACTGTGTATGTATATAAAATTATATTCATTATGAGCCAACAAGTCATATTAGTTCAAGAAGGGGGGAAAACAATGGTATCATTTGTCTTTCTTTATTCTCTCTTTCTTAGCGTGACCATGACAGAAAACATGGTGAAACCCAAGTCAAGGGCGACTGCCAAGGCCCACAGTGTTCCCCGGTAAAATGAATTTTTCCTTTTTTAGGTTCTAATGTAGTGTAGAAGGTTTTATGAAAATAATTCTGTATTTTTCCCTTTTTTCCAGTGGGAGCGGGTATATGATTGTGGCAAGACTTTAGCAAAGCAGGTTGTTTCTGTGTCCTACAGCACAACATCAACGAGCTGCAATGTCAGTTACACAGTACCAGGTAGAGTGTATTCAGGGTGTTTTACTTTCCTTTCTGCTACAGTTCAAATCTTCCTTTGCTTCCCCCCCCCTATATTCTCCCTGATTCTTTCTACATCAGAGAACCATGTGTAGCACAAGGGTACAGTCTAGTGTGATATATCCTGTCTCAGGTGGGTGATAAAATGTCTTTGGGAATCACTGATGGTGGTGAAGAGCGCTCTCACAACACATCTGTGCACATTTCGGTTCAGATCTGGTGACTGGAATGGCTGTGGCATATGAGTCACATGTTTTTCATCCCCATCAAAACATGTAGTCACCCTTCATACGCTGTGAATGGGGTCATTCTTACCCTGGAAAAAAAAAACACTCATATTTGTATAATCTCAGAATAACCTTGTTTTGATTTGTATGCCTTCTGTCTATGTTTCTAAACTCATTCTCTTACCTACATTTTTCCTTCAATGTGTCACTCGTGTGTATTTTTTGACAATTGTTTTTTTTGTGTGTGTGTGTGACTTAGATCCCATACCAGACTTTGAGCTGTCTGTGAATCAGTTGTCTAAATCCATCACTGTCACCGTGGAGCCAGGAGACAAAGTCTACACCATGTGGTGTTACCAAAAAAGTAATATGGGCTGCATAGTCGGGCCACTTTCCCCCCAGATTACTGTAAGTCTCAGTGGGACACTTAACTGCCCACATACACTTGTTTGTACACACTAAAAAATACTCTCTAATGTATTTCTGTTCTGTTCAGATTGATCCAGCTCAGTCTCAATCAGCTGT